CCCTGTCCCCCAGTGGACTAGGAGAATGGCTCCTAGTGTCTCAGGGAAAACAAGGAGGAGTCACATAGCTTTCCCTGACCCCTTTATCTTTCTCAAAAATTTTTAACTCCTTCATCACGTCTGAGCAAACACTGGGCTGGGCCCTGTGGTAGGTATGGGCCGGGTGGGAGAGGCGCAGCCCCCATGTTAGTCTGCAAGCATTGATGGTACCACTTCTCCGGCCCGGCCATGGGGGGGTGGGAGGGTGGGGTCTCTCGGCAAAGGGAGTCCTTTACATCTGTCCAGCACTTTCATCCTTTTGAAGCATTTTCTTTACCTCTCTCCTTTCTCTTCTGAATACCGCTTTGAGTCATTTGAAGGCCAAGGAGATCCAGAGCGGTTAAGCGACAGGCCTGGGGTCCCAAAGCCATTTCAGAACAGAGCTGGGGCTGGGCTCCTGGGCCTGGGATCTCTTGTCTTCCACCCAAGCCTCTGCCCCTCAGCCCTTCCCCTCCCTTCTCCGTTGGGAGGAGGGGACACCTCAAAGCCTGTCCCTTGGCTTGTGCCAGTGCCAGGGATGGGATTCGGGGAGGGGATGGCCCTGGGAGGCAGAGGCCCAGCCTCCCTCTCCTTTAGGCTCGGCTGGGGATCTGGTGTCCAGAGCCACTCCCCTGATGACATTCCTAACTTGTCTGTCTTCCTTCTCCTTCCTGCCCGGGTTCCCAGGAGGCGAGGGATAAAAATCTACGGAGATGGTAAGTGTGGGGTCTGCCCTGTGTGTCCCCCTCACCTCCCACCTGCTGGGTCTTCCTGGGGTCGTGCAGATGGAGAGAAGGAGAGCGATTGCTGCACTGCTCCCTGTGGCTCCCCCAGCCCTCGAGGACAGGGCGTCCTGGCAGCTCTCTGATCAGAAGGCCCCACACCCTTAGCAGAGGTGTCATTGCTAACATTTGAAGCCCTCCACTCGCTGTGGGGTTGGCTGGTGGGGTTTGAGCCCTGTCCTCCTCCTGACAGCCTCCTCTAGCCCATTACAGCCTTTTCTCCCTGAAGCCCCATCCTTGCTTTGCTGACCCATCCTCGCTGCAGGCTCAGACCTTTGCATCCCAACCCCATTCTTGCCTCCACCGTGCTGCTGGCATTGGCCACTCGGGTCCCCTCCAGAGCCAGGCTGGGAGAACTGCAAGAAGAAGCCTGTTCTCATTGGATCCTTGCTCCCTGATGTCCCATGTGTTCTATCCGCATATACTTGGGGGTACAGGGTACAGGCTGCTTCATCCTGGCCAGAGCCCAAGGCCGCAGTTTCCTCCGAGGCTCAGCCCCAGAACAGTGACCTGGGCATCTCTGTCTGCAGAAGACGAGGTAGATATGCTGAATGACGGACATGGCTCAGAAGAAAGGATCTCTGTCCCTTCCTGCTATGGAGGTATAGGTGCTCCAGTGAGTAGGCAAGGTGAGAACAAAGGCCTAAACAGGTCTGGGTCCCCAGCAGCAGGAGAGGGCCTCAGAGAAGGGGTGAGGCCCAGAGACTCATGGACCTACTCTTGCCTGTTCTGGGTGAGCCCACGGTTCCCAGGCTGCCCTCCTTACCTGGCCTGCACTGTCTCCCAAGGGCTGTGGTGACACTGACCCCAGAGGTGCCCAGATGGGGCTCACAGGGAAGCATCCTGGAGGAGGGAGAATGGAATGGGCCTGGGCACAGGGGAGGCATGGGCGGGCAGGGTCGGAGTTTGCTGTGGGCCTGGAGGAGCTGGGCATGAGGTCAGAATGTTCTACTAGCTGTGATATCTTGGATAAGCAACCTCCTGTCTCTCTGCCTCCACTTCCTCTGTGAGGTGGGAGGCAGTCCTGCACCAAACACCCCTCCTTGTTATAGGACAGGGAACTGAGGTGGAAAAGGAGACTAGAAGTACCTGGCCCCACAACCATTCAGACACAGAGTCGGGATCTCCTGCATCCCAGCCGGGGACACTTTCATTAGTAACTGCAACAACCAGGGCTCCTTGAGGAGCCATCCTGCGTGCTCTCTGCCTCTCCCCTGGCACTTGCTCCCCACCCCACTCTCAGCTGGCGTTTGTCCCCACCAAGGTCACAGTCAAGGACTTGCCTGCCTGTCTCGCTTCTGTGCACGGCAGCATTCCACATCGGCCACCGGGCACCGTGCCCTCCTCCGATCGCCCTGGGCTCTTAGCTGCCATGACACTGCTCTCCCAGATTTCTTTCTGCCTCCCAGGCTCTTTCCTCTCTTTGCTAGCTTCTTCTTTTCCTCCCAGCTTTTCAGTGCGACGCTCCTCCCCTGGGTTCTCCTCTCTCTCCCTGCTCCGCCTTGGGAGCTCATCAGTGCTGTCTGTGCTAACCAGGCCCAGAGGTCTATATATCCGTTACAAAGCCTTGACTACAAGTCAGAGAGAACTCTTCTGAACATTGAGGAGGACTTGTCCTGCCCACCAAGAAGTCCAGGAAGCAGCTCCAGGGTTGTTAATCCATTGACTCGAAGACATCCATGAACAGGTTTCTCCGTCTTTCCACTGAGCCATCCTTGACATGTTAGCCCATGTGGCTGGATGGTGACAAATGCAGTTCCTGCTTCACACACAGGGCAGCACGCAGGGGAAGGAGAGGACCCATTCCTTCCTGTGTGTCTCTCTTGTTTTCCTTCTTTTCTTTCTTTCTTTCTTTCTTTCTTTCTTTCTTTCTTTCTTTCTTTCTTTCTTTCTTTCTTTCTCTTTCTTTCTTTCTTTCTTTCTTTCTTTCTTTCTTTCCTTCTTTCCTTCTTTC